TGTGTGGAGTTATAGGTAATTTGACACATTCCATTTAATAACACCTTTGGACAATAGAAAATACAAAACTAGATCGATCCTCAGTGGATATGAATCACGATTTCATTTTATTTGTATCCATAGCAGAATGCTCCAGTTAAAGTAGAATAAAATTATCGCTTTAAGTCTCATGAATTCATTTGTTTAGAGTTGATGAGGTGAAAAAACTTGAACATCTATTAAACACTGCACACATTATTGCCAATAAGTTTCGTACCGATCGGAGTTAAGAACATCATTGTCTCAAAAAACAAACCAGAAAATTTCTGTATTCCATTTCCAGCGTGATATCGATAAAAATCCTTTTAAAGGTATCTTCTTCATGACCACGCAAATTCTTGTTTTCGATTCCAAGTTGTTTAACCTTAAAGAGGCGCTCCGTTTTTCTCTTTCAACTGCCATACCAAAAAAAAACGGTTTCATTGTTGTTTAAACTTTCCAAAAGTTTCAATTTTCGAATCTTCTCTCTTAAAAACTACGTTTCAAATCTTTTTAATTTAGCACATTTTCTACATTAAACCGGTTATTTTATCGTTCACACATGTTGCGCGGGTCAAAGATATATCGCCTTAACTGTTTTGCAAACCGAAATATCGGAAAAAACATCGTTTTTCATTCATGTGTTTTTTTTCTCAAAATCAAATTATTGAAAAGAAAAGTCGAATTTTTTCTCGCTTTCTTTTTGATTCTCCGAACGATTGGACTGAACCCTCTTTATATCATGAACCATCGAATCGTAATGTATGCTGTTTTATTTGAAAAAAAAATTGTGTTGCTGAATTTTGGCAGATTTAAAAGAACTTTGCATTAGTCGAAAAATACTCGAAAACAAGTTTTTCTTCAGCAGGTTATTCATATTTCGACTGCCATTTTCTAACAACTTAATATTTGTCGAAGAAAAGCAAAAGACACCCCTTATTTGTTTGACTCTACTTGCAGTTAAATAAATATCAGCGAAATTGAATGAAAATCGTGAGAATGGTGGAGGAAACTTCAGATCATTTTTAGTCTTTGTGTCTTCTAAAGTAGATGGAAGGAAGCATCCAAAATTGGTGAACTCAGAATAATGTGTACTCCATTCGTCGAGATCTATTCACCTTGAAAATTGTAGAACTTTTCGTCGAGTTGTTCTTGAGAAACTCACGAAACCGTGGGCGCTCTTCACTATTTGACGAGTATTCTTCAATAAAAGAAATAATCAAAGATGCTTTGTCTTTTAGGTTCGAATGCTCTGCGTCGAAGAATCAGACAGGAAGCTATTGTTGTCGATCCAATAGCGGCCATCATTATTTCAATATACATCATAGTCGTTTGGATTCGGCAAGGCAATAGTAAGTGTCGAATGTTACCATATACGAGATTTCTCTATTAACACAGAACACTAACTTTTATTGAATCTTATTGCATCTTTTGGATTGTCAGACTATTTGAAATGATGATTATTTTATTGAAATAGTCATTATACGTTTTGTTTTTACTCAGAACAAGTTCGCCGCCTAACGGGTCTTACGGCCGATCCATATTTTCTGCAACGAATTACTCATATTGTCTACAATTTCCGTCCTAATCTAGTGACAAAAATCAAAGCTGTTCGCGCTGTTCATCATGGTACGAGATTTTTCGTCGAAGTTGAAATTATTTTGTCAGGTTCAATGCCTCTGGCTATTGCTCATGATATTGGAGAGGAGCTACAAAATCAACTTCACAAAGTACCTGATGTTGAACGAGCATTTGTCCATATCGATTTTGAAGATAGACACGTACCAGCATTAGAAGACATAAACGTTTGATTTCGCGTTATGGACACCGATATGCAACATTGTATTCAATATTATTAGAATAAAATAAAAATATTACAAGCAGAACTATTTGTGAACTATTTTTCTTCTATGCTATCCTCTTCAGTAATGTGTGGGTGTGAGTATTGGTGTAAGTTCTGTTAAACTCTTAATCCAAATTCAGACCCTTTTATGCTACGTTCTATGGAAGTTGCTTTCAACTAACCTATCTGTTTTTCCCTGACACTACGACTGTCGGCGATTTGGTTTAGGAATGTTATGTCATCATACCACTCATAAAAAAACAGTGAAACAAGAAAATATTAACTAGACGAGAAAGGGTAGTCTATGGGCAATAGATCAACATTTCCAAACATATCTTATGAATAATAGAAAAAAAGATGATTCTAAATCAAAAATGCTTTTCTTTTCTCATACGAGGAAACTATAACATATTGAAGGTGATAGAATTTGGAGTGTATATATTCTTGATTTACATCCACCCACACCCTGATGTTGCTTCGTATATGTGTGAGGTTGAGATAAGTTGCATACACTTTCTACATTCTCTGACAACAGTATCAGAGCAACTTAGGACGAGAATGACGACAGTCGTAAACAGTTCATTTCCTCTTATACATTCAATAAATATAATTTCTTTATTTACATAGATACTTATTGTTGAGCTTGTTTGCAAAATCAGTGTCAACAAAAAAAAAATTTAAAGAAATAAATACTTACTCTTGGACTTGCTGCTGAGATACATCTAAATAAAGAAAAATAATTTAATTTTTTTACATAAATACGTATCATTGGACTTAATGTGGAGACAGATCTGAATAAAAAATTACGATCCTACTTTTTCAACTTGAATTAGTCTAAGTTGCTAATAACACTTGTGAATGTACAAATATACGTCATACTTACAAATGTAAGATTGATTGTTCAATAATACCAAATCATGTGATAACTTTAACAAGAGAATGCAAGGATATAATGACTAAATCGTCCTATTTATTCATTTGATTTTTGAGAATCTCAATTTTTCTCATGATGGTCAATAGAGGAGATTGATGCTTCAGTCATGGTATGAGTAATAAATCTTCTCTGTTTCTTTCCAGCATACAATCAAGAAAAACAGTTTGCCGTTTGTTATTGATGATATAGCTGAAAGATAAAAGTCGATGACAACATGATAAAAGTCAGGCGGCGTAAAGTATATTCGTACGCTCTATGTTCACAAATGAAAAAATCTTCGATTGATTTTCGTTAAAAATTTTAGAATTTTTTATGGTTCTGGAATACAATTTGTCCGGTCTACTTGCTTTACTTAGCAGGTAAATAATGATTCATAAAAAAGTGAATAATGAGAAGTCATTTTTGAATGTACTAGTTGTGTAAAGCAACTTTTGGAACATCCTGTAATGAGAATTATTTTTTCAAAATGGCAAACAAACACTCTCAATTACCTTGAATAAAAGCTATGCTCTGTCGTTTTAGTGGCCACTTTTATCATTGAATGTACTTTTATATAGATATCAGTGAACTAAAGAGCAATGGATAATGCTATCTTACATAGTTGCAGTGAGGAGCAGAATAAACTCGCTTTTTTTTTCTATTATGTTAATGATTAAAATGATTGATAAATTGTATCGCCTCATCTATAGAGTTGCTGCACGAAATTCTTTCATGTATTTTTCAAATAGTAATACGAATGCGAAAAATGTGACAGTTGTTGGAACAAATGAAACAATAGTGTTGGATTCCAAGGAGATTTTATCGATTTCCTAACGAAGAAAATAATACGATTAAGTAAGACATAAAATTGATAATGCAATTGTAAACAAAACCTCAAATTCATTTTTCTTCTGAATTAAACTCGTCATCAAGTTTATGATGAAGAGTATTATTAATGTATACTGAGACGCTTTAAGTACAGCAAACATTCGTTCAATGGTCACATATGCATTGAGTCGTTCACTAGCTGTTAAAAATTTATTAAGATATCCATCTTCTACAATACAACTAACTATAAACTAGGATCGATTTGTTAAAAAGATTTTCCTGAAACAAAATAACGTGCCAAAATCTGAATGTTTGTAACTTGTCTCGATTGTTTCATTTGAACCGTCGTTGTTGACAAAATTTCGTTGAGAAGTTTAACAATAAACTCCAATCTAATTAATGATATACACAGTAGGATAATCAATGGTTGCCGACTCAAGGACATATTCGGCTTGGTTCGTCACAGATATATATATATTATAACTGTAGAGTATGTTGAATTCTTTTGACATATGCGTTGTTTTTTTTAGTCATATGTTATTGTATAATTAAATTCAGAACAGTTGGTTGTGGACATGGATGAGTGAATGAACTACATCGACAGCTACATCCACAACCTTGAATAATAGTGTTTCGTATTTTAGAAATTCTATTAGTAAGAATGTATTCTTCTTTTCTTCTAGATGGTTCATTCTTTCAGTGCATTTCTTCTTGAACAAGATTCCTTTTCTTACACATTCTAAGAAATTTATTATTTTGCTTACTTATTACCCTTTTTTGATATAGTTGTTCTAAATTGCAAACAATTACTTTAATTTTCTCGCCATACAAAATATTATTTGTTCGTTAGTAGATAACCTCGTCTTAGTTACTTTTGAATATTCGTTTTCGATTTCGTAACATTTCGGAAGTCGGTGCAGTCTTCTTTAGACTTTACTAATGGAAAATGAAATAAACAGTACTCGAACACAGATGCATTTTATTCTTTGCTTTTTCTTTTCTGCTGTTGTTGTGATTTTGATAGTGTGTTACAAAAAGCTGGCATGCGTACATCATTTCTAACATGTATCTTTGCTTTTCCTCTCACTAAAAAATTGCCAGAACAATAGAAAAAACGAGAAGTAAAAGATGAAAAATAAAATGAGTGTGTTCTACGATACTTTTAACTTTATTTTCGATCAATAGACTTTGAAGAGGCAACATCAATTATGGAAAGTCACGAAAAAGTAAAAGTATATTCTGCTAGTAACTAGGAAGAGACTCACTAACAACTAACAGTTGAACAATGAATTATGATCTTCCTCTACACAAATAAGTTGCTAAGTTCTTCATTAACATGTCACAACCGCTAATACGCACATGTCTATGTTAAAACCGTTTTCCTCATTCTTTATAACGATGCGAACAAAACACATGTCTTCGGTATTATTATTAACAACTACAGGTCTCGAACATTTTGGTCAACAATTTTTTTCAACTGTTTATCAGAATAACAATAATCAAAATGTATTTCTTTCACCAGGAAGTATTGCTCGTGCTATATCAATGTGTACAGTTGGTGCTCGACAAGAAACATTAGATCAAATGCTGCTTGTCCTTGATGCATCATCAAAAGAAAATTTAATACAAACAGCTGAACAAATTATGCATGTTTTTTCGCTTGCTAAGATAAATGTATAAACTGCAACATGAATATTTAAAACTTGTTCGAAGTTCTTTCAAACCAGATATGAAACTGCAAGATTTTGAAAGTAAGAATGTTGATGTTATTGAAAAAATTAATAAATGGGTTGTTGCAAGAAAAAAAAAATTAATTCAACATTTACTTTCAGAAGATGATGGTACACTCTATATGACAGTAAAATAATTTCTTTTTCCGTCCATTAAAATAACAGGGCACATGGATAAAACAATTTGAAGAATGTCTAACAAATCCAAATGCTGATTTTCATGAAGCTAATGGTCATATTTCAAAAGTACCTTAAAAAAGTGATGATCGCAATGTTCCATTTGTTGTTACTGTAATCTTGCCTAATCAAGGTGTTTCATTAGATGAAGTTGAACGAAAATTAACATCAAAACTAGACTCAATGCAATGAATATTAAGTCATCAAAATAAAACAACACAAGAACTTCTTTTATATTTACCAAAATTCAAAATAGAAGCTAAATTTAAACTAAATAAAATTCTTGAACAACTCGAAATGGTGAATGGATTTTGTCATACTAAAACAGATTTTACCGGGATCGTTAGTTAAGATGATGATAGCAATCGGTTGCACATCGATAAAGTAAAAATCTTATTGATAGAAAATAAATTTTTTTCTCATATAAAATTTAGGTTATTCATAAAGCATTCATCGATGTAAACGAACAAGGTGAGTTTGGATATTTTTCTGACATGAAGTTTGTTGATAAAGACAAAGTAAGAAAGATATAGAGAAATAATTGATTTCATTTAAGTTGTAAAAAAAATGTGAAGTAACAATAGTGGTGATGAAATGAGAGAGTTATGTTCAAAAGATAATGAAATCCCAATCAAAATTTATTTTATTATCAATACCATGATGCTGTCTAAAGCATATCATCAAACAAATGTCAACAGATGTTTAATATGACAACAGAAAATTTGTCTATGCTCTTCATTTACATATTATGTTTTTCTTTTTATGACAAAAAATAGGTCTTGTTATAAAAGATTCATGAAAACGTGGTATTTTCAAACGAGTTTTTTTAGATTTTTTTTCGCAATTCTGTACTTGTTATCCATAGTCGTCAACAAAAAGGTGAGACTTAGAAATAGAAAGGCTCCACAGAGCAGTTCAGATTGGAAAGGATGTGAATGGAAACGTTGTTTTTCTCTTCACTCGCAGGGTGTGGGTGTAGATGAAGATATGTTCTCTTCATCGGAGGTGCGGATTTCGGTATTCATCTTCTCTTTCTTCACACTCATACTAACATTCGTACACCGACGCCGTCCATTTCACGCTGAACATATTTTGTGATAGTGCCCTTTCGATGACGCAACAGCTTATTTGTGTAATTTCTTTCAAATTGACGTGGCCCGTTATTACATCGGATGGTTCTTTCTTTGTTACTTGTAGAAAAAAAAATGTTATTTTTATTTTTAACTTTCAAAAATAAAGATTGCATTTATCTGCATTTTTTAAATAATAAAGATTTTTCAATTTTATAAATCTTTTTTTTTCAAATATAAAGAAAATATTGATGCTAATTTTATGAGCATAAATATTTTCTTAATATTTATTCTTGACTATAATAATCAATAAGTATAAATCTATTAGATACATTTCAGTTGAAAGAACATAGCATGCGAACTTAAAAGCTTTATTTATTAATTTGCATTTTCTTCTAAGATAAATGATTAAAATATTATTTTTAAGGAGCCCTCATCTATACTTAATTGTCACCACCATGCGAATTTGATTCTATGATCTCGTTCTCTCAACTGATGCATAAGTTGTTGACTGACATCATTGTCCCATATGTGTATTGCAGAGAGCACCTATGTTGAGGACAGAAGGTGAGTGTGTGATCAAGAAGAGATAGAGAACGAGAGTTACCCTGTTATGCTGTAAGCCATCAAAGAGATGTTCTGCTCCAGCATCTCCTATATGATTAAATCGAAGTTTCATTATAGTGAGTGTCTGTATAAACATTAGAAAACCGATTGCAGATTTATGAATAGAAAATGACAGTCACCGTGTTTCTGCGTAAGGCATTACCAATATGATTTGCTCCATCCTGTCCGATTTTGTTAGAGGAAAGGTCAAGCACCCGAAGTGTCTTTTGAAAAACGAGAAGATGGATTTGAGAGAAATAGGCAATACATGAAAGTCACCTTGTTACGTTGTAAGACATAAGCAAGTACTTGCGTTCCAATATTTCCGATGTCATTTTCTTGAAGGTTCAGTGACGTGAGTGCCTGTTCGTAAACGAACGAATGGACAAAAACATGAGAGATAAGAAATGACATCGGGAGTTACTTGGTTATTTTGTAGCATATTAGCGAGATGTTTAGCCCCCTTTTCTCCGATTTGATTGTTTCCGAGGTTCAGTGTAGTAAGTGCCTGTTTACACACATGAGTAGATAAAGTACGAAAGAAATCAGGACACTGAAAGTTACCTTGTTATTCTGTAAGCTATCAGTCAAAACTTGTACCCCATCGTCTCCGATATGATTGCATTGAAGGTCCAGCGTAATGATTGTCTTTATAAAAACAGAAAAAAGCATGGACACCAAACATATGCAGAAAGAATAAGACTCACCTGATTATTTCTTAAAAAGTAAGCGATATGTTGTGCCCCAATCTGTCCAATATGATTACTTCCCAAGTCTAGCGTAGTAACTTTCTGAATAGATACGAGATGATGTGAATTTTGAGGGACGAAGCAAGTACGAGGATTACTGTGAAATTTCGTAGAGTGTCAATAAGATATTGTGTTCCAACATCCCCTATAAAGTTCCAAGAAAGACTTAGAGTATTGAGAGCCTAAGTGCAGAAAAAAAACCGCATAACAAAAGGAAAAGCATAAAAATCGAACGCGATTCACCTCATTATTTCGTAGGCCACGAGCAAGATATTGTATGCCGGATGGTTGTATTCCATTGGAAGAAAGGTCTAGTGTGGTTAAAGTCTGAGTTACGATATCAACATAGATACAAAACAGATGAATATTCATAAAGGATTACCCTGTTGAATTCTAAGGCAACACCAAGATGTTCCATGTCAGCATGTCCTATTTGATTAGATACAAGATGCAATGCAGTGAGTGTCTATCAAAGAACATGAAGATCAAAAAAAAATAATGAAGTGACGACGAGTAATCCACTTTGTCATTGCGTATTTGTATAGCGGCACCAATAGTCATACAGTAAGCACTATTACCATTAAGCTCTAGTTTGGTGAGTGTCTATTTCAAGATGAGAAAGTAGACATAAGAGGGATGACCATAGAATATATCTCACTATATTATTTTGTAAGGCATCTGCGAGATGTTGTGCCCCATCATCTCCGATATTATTATAAGATAGGCTCAATATAGCTAGTGTCTATGTGAAAACGAAACTGATGATTATGAATGTTATAAACAGACAAGCAGAGTCACCGCGTTATTTCTTAAGGTATCAGCAAGATATTTCGCTCCATCATCTCCGATTATATTCGAAGCTAGATTCAATGTAATAAGTGTCTGTGTAGAAATGAAAATATTGGCAAATATAAGAAAGATGAATATAGAATGAGGGTAACCATGTTATTTTGTAAGCCTGCAGCGAGATATTGTGCCCCAACAGGCCCAATTTCGTTGTCCCGAACGTCTACTGTAGTGAGCATCTATACAGAAATCAAGAGATAGATTTGGGAGACATAAGGAGACAATCAGTATCACTTTATTATATGTGAAGAGGTCAGCGATATGTTGTGCTCCCAAATCTCCAATTAGATTGCTGCGAAACGCTAACGTCGTCAAAGTCTATGCAAACATAAGAGAATGAATTCAAGATAGATAAGTAGAAAATGTCGATTACTGTGTTATTTCGTAACGCATCGGTGAGATGTTGTATCCCGGCAGTCCCAGTTTCATTCGCAGAAAGATCCAACGTGGTGAGTGTCTATCCAAACATATACAAATGAATATAAAATCAGCGAATATGAAATAACAATCACAGTATTATATCGTAAAGCATCAGCAAAATGCTGAGTTCCATCAGGTCCGACATGACTTAGTCGAATGCCCAATGTCTTCAGTGTCTATACGATGATTACAAGATGGATATATTATTCATAAGGTTGTTGAAGATTTAATGACCATCACCTTATTAAATCGTAAGGCAGCAGCAAGATATTCTGCCTCAAAAAGATCCATTTGCTTCTCTTCAAGATGCAGTGTGATAAGTTTCTATTTGGAAGACAAAAACGTGAATCGATACAAGAATTATCCAAAGAAAACGGATTAACCACCTGACTGTTCCTTAAGTTGATAGCTGCCTCAATAACATCACAATATGGGCCCGTGTTTCTATGTAACTGCAATGTGACCATTGTCTATAGAGAAAACAAGATCAACATGCCAGATGTAAAGAAGTAATGAGTTTTGCCTTATTGTTTCGAAGAGCATCAGCAAGATAATAGACACTATCCGTTCCAATATTATTCTTTAGAAGGCGCAATGTTTTGAGAGTCTTCATCGTGTAGAAAAAATTATAAAACTGGTTGAGAAAATCTGTTGATTACCGTGTTATGTTGTAATGCATGTGCAAGATGCTGCACCCCACCATCGCCAATTTTATTCCAATTAAGATTGAGTGTGACGATTGTCTATATGGATGCGTAATAATTAACAACACCAACATGGATAAAGAGAAAATGAGTTTTACCGTGTTGTTTCGTAAAGTATCAGCCAAATATTGGACACCATCGTCACCAATCTCATTGTTATCAAGACATAGTGTTTTGAGAGTCTAGATCAAGAAACAAAGAGCTTGAAAATTATTGAGAAAATCTGTCGATGACCTTGTTCTGGTGTAATGCATTGGCAATATACTGCGCTCCAGCATCGTCAATTTTATTGGAATTAAGATCGAGTGTAGTGAGTGTCTGTATGGAGCTGAGATGATGAACACATGCAGCATAGATAAGAAGAAAGGGAAAACCTAC